GCCATGGTAGTTGCAAGTGTAATGTTAAAAATGCATTTTTGAGAGTGAAACTCATGACAGTTTGTTTTAAGCATCTTCAGTTCAAATTAAATGATCACACACCTCACATAAGTCATATAAAAGGATTTTAAAACTTCAAACATGGCCAAAACCAACAGCTTATGAAAATGACATGTCAAGTGGCCAAAATGACTTGAAAAATGCATAATGAACTCCAAAACACAAACCAATGGTTGTAATACTCAAATGAGGGTTTGAAAATTTTAAAAATGATGTATTTGAGGTATTCCAACAATTGGTTTGAATCAAAACACAACAGAATTCTAAACTGGTATGGAAATGCTTCATTTTGTTAAAAAAATGCATTTTAAAAATGAGTGACATGATGCAAACAAGTTCTGTCCAAACTAAAAGCACACACACATCACATAAATCATATGGAATGATTTTAATGCATCAAAATTGTCCAATACCAACAGGTTATGAAAATGACATGATAAATGCAATGTTTTGGTGAAAATGCAAGGCAAATATCTACAAGTAACAGCAGCAGCAGGGCATCTTGTCAAACATTGATGTTTTATGGAAACAAAACATATACACACACTTCATACATCATATTAAGTGAAATCAAACACAACTTGAGGTCAAAAAGTGACTGTCATGGAATATGGTAATGCTTATGTTCATGCTTTCATCACTTTTCTCAAAATTGCAAAAACATGGAAAATGATGTAGAGTGCAAAGTTTATAGACTACATACCTCTTGTAGACTATGTTGAGCAAGCTAGAATAGCCAAGAAAACCAGAGATGCCTCCTTTCACCTAACTTTGAGCTTTTTGTTTCTTTTGAAGCAAAATACCACTTTTATGACAGTGGAAGAAATAAACTTCCCCTATCACTTCCAATGCTTTGAACACTTGAGGAGCAATATATAAGAGGTGTTAGGATGTTTAGAATGCTCAGAAAGTGAGTGGAATGAGATATGGCAAGTTTGATGGCTTTTGACTAAAGTAATGTGGTAAGGAAAGTGATTTTTCGATTGGTGAGGTTTTGGAGTGGTTCAATGGTTTGACACCTTCTATACCATGTTTATGGAGTGTATGGATGATTGTTGGGGTGTGGGAAAGTGTAGAACTGATTTTGGCAGCAATATGTGCCAAAACATAATTTTGGAGTTTTTTGTGAACTTGGTAATTTTGTGGTTTTTTGAAGCAAGGATGAAAAGCAGCAAGAGATGTGTGTTTCTCGGGTGTTTAGTAGATTGTGAATGTGTAAAATGAAGTGAAGACACCCTCCTTTTATAGGCAAATGAGATGAGGAGCTTGCTTGGTGAGAATACTTCATTATGAAGTAAGGTTAAGATATTTTTGAAAGAAACCCCTCTTGGAGGGTTTGCTTGTGTTCTGATCCAAGGCCTCAATTGTCAATGTTTCTACTGATTTTATGAGTTTATTAGCAGGCTAGAAGCAATAGGAGAGTGGCTGGTGCAGTTGCCTTTCCACCTCATGCTTGGAATTTTCCAACTTGGTGCAATTTGCCCACTTGCAAGGCAATGAGTTATAGCTTTGGTTTTTCTTGCTTTCATGCATAACTTTCTATTATTTCATGCTACAAACATTCCATATATCATTTAGAACAAGTTTCATAAGCTGAAGTTGGCCCACTTGGATGAAAGAAGTGATTTTGCAAAATTGGGCAATGCGGGACTAAAGTGTGAAATCCTCAACTTTGCACCTATGTAACTATCTGCTCATAACTCCTCTTGAGATGTTCTAGTACAATTTAGAAAGCCCTCACATAGCTTTAAAACATTCATGTTTTTATGAGTTTCAATTTCTCAAAGTAACTTGGCCAAAAAACCCTCCAAAGTTGCTAAAAATGAGCTTAAAAAATGAAATTTTCCCAAGTCTTTTTCCCCTCTTGAAATGAATTTGACCATAACTCAAAATCTATGCATTTTCTGATCATGGACCACTTAGGGACTTTTGTAGGACTTGTCAAGAGCTTCCAAATGAGCTTTGAACCAACTCAATTGGATGTGTGGTTAAGGAGTTATGGTTTAGCCCTTTTCAAAACCCTAATTTCCCGATTTCCTGATTACTCCTTCATCCTTGATCCAATGGTCATGAAAATTGATATGCAAGTTCAATATGACATGAGGAACAACTTTGTTTCACAACTTGAAGTCCAATTCATAAAATTTGGAGAGTTGACTTTTCGGTCAACCGTACGATCGATCGGTGCCGACCGAGTTGCCTGTTGACATTCTGGACATCCTGAGACCTTGAAACTTCTTGGATGAACCTTATTAGGCTATATGAACTTCATGAATCACAATCCCACCATTTAAACACCTTCCAACATTAAAGCCAAACTACGGTTGACTTTTACTACTCAAAAACCCTAATCGGGTGCTCTGAAATGTACTGCTCTGAATTCTGGGGTAACAACCTCACATTGGCTTCTCAATTGACATTATGTAATTCTCTTGACCTTTTTTCCTATTTGAACGAGCCCAAAATATTGACTAATCACAAACCATGAAGTTTCGATTTTGACTGCACGAAACCCTGATTTATCTGCAATTGACAAAAATAGACTTGCGCTGGGTTAAGGTTAGAAATTCATGAGTATGCTCCTAAAATGAAAATGAGAATCTAAGGGGTCAAAATTTTGGGGTGCAACATATCTCATCCATTAGTTATGCAAATATACATAATTAAGGTGATTTTTATTATATCAATCATAATTAAATCCATCAATGATCACCAATAGTGACACAACTAAATGACACATATCCATCATGAAATGTGCAGCATGAAAATCGCATAAAGTTTGTTTGTATATGTCGATCTTCAACTTGTCATACTTTACTTTAGTGCGATCATTTAATAACTTTATTGTACAAAACGTAAATTACTGAGTATCAAACTTTATTAATTGGAAAATATCTAAAATTATAGTATGCATACATAATACCAAACACAAAACCTAAAATTCATAATCGACTAACTCTGATTAAACTAAATACCCCTCTAACGGTAAAACACCCATGCGAGCAGTGTTCTCATGAAAGACCTAGAGTGGAAGACCTTTTGTAACAGGATCTGCTATAATGGAGTTTGTCCCCAAGTGTTTTATGAAAATCTGTCCACTTTGTACCATTTCCTTAATAGTTAGGAACTTGATGGCAATATGTTTTGACTTGGTCGAGCTCCTGTTATTGTTGGAATATAGGACGGTTGATTTGTTGTCACGATATAACTTAAGTGGTCTTTCAATTCCTTCCACAATTCGCAGCCTAGTGACAAGATTCCTCAGCCAAATCCCATGGTTGGATGCCTCATAAGATACTATAATCTCTGTTGCCATGGTGGATGAAGCCGTAAGAATTTGTTTAGCACTGCGCCAAGAAGCTGCACCACCAGCCAACATGTAGATATAGCCTGAAGTGGATCTTTTACTGTCTTAGCATCCAACAAAATATGAGTCAGAGTATCCAGTGATCTTTAGCTGGTCTGACCTCCTATATGTGAGAATATAGTCTTTTGTTCTCTTTAAATACCTCATAATCTTTTTGGCTACTTTCCAATTATCCATTCTGGGATTGCTCAAATATCTTCCTAATATCCCAACTATGAACGTAATATCTGGACGTGTACACACGTAGGATTACGTCAGACTCCCTATTGTTGATGCATAAGGAATTTTTTACATTTCTTGAATTTCTAAGTTTCCTTTTGGGCACTGACTGAGACTAAATTTATCTCCCTTAACAATTAGAGTATTCCCTGGTTTACATTCATGCATGTGTTGTACCCCAAAAAATTTCCTCTCTTTTCCTAACCATAACTGGTCTCTGCTTCACATTCATACACATTTCCATAAGGTCATAATTCATAATCATGCATTAAATTGGTCTTTTAAAACATGAGATTACAGCGGTTCTTTGAATCAAGGTTTTCTATATGCTTTGAGTTTCCTATACTCAAGTTGAAGCAATGGTTGAACTCTCATCATCAAGCATCAAGTGTATATTCTTCAAGTTTTCTCAAGAATATTAAGTGTTTGAGGTTTCATCTTTGATTTAATTGAGAAAACCTAGATTAGGGTGTTATTTCCTTTTAACATCTCAGGTTGCTCTCTTCATCAATGTATATCTTAGGGAGAATTAGGGTTTTTTTATTCATGGTTGAGCTTGTGAATTTTTATTAGTTGAGGTTTATTGGATTTAGGGTTTCATGTCAAGTATCTCTCTACTTCAAGCTTTATCATTCAGCTTCAAAGATTCTTCAAGGCAATGTTATGGTGTTGATTTTCATGTCAAGATTATCTAGCATCAATGATAAAAATGGGGAACAGCGTGGTCCTGAAATTGAGAGATGGTAAACTATCATTTACAAATCTTATTTAAAACATTTCACCAATCTTTGATATGGAAGTTGGGGATTATCATGATGAGAAGCATGAGTAAATGCATACTTGCTATCGTGTGACACCTGAGGGGTCACTAAGAGCATCTCCAACCGTGAACCCATTTTTGGATTCTTTGTGGGACCTATTAAGCCACGTCAGCTTGAAGCAACTTAACTAATTTTTCACTCCAATGGTGCAACTCTGAAAAACTCATATTGGGTCCCACAACTTTACTTTATATATTAATATTTTATTCACATTAAATTTTATATCACTTAAAATAATAATTTTAATTTTTTACAGAAAATTATTCCAGTTTACTATATAGCCCAACGGGTATATAGTGTTGTTTTAAGGAAAAATATTTCATTCTACTATATAAACTTTAAAAAAATTAGATTAAACTTAAAAAAGTATTTCAATCTCTCCTTAGTTAATTTTAGTGTTTTAAATTAAATTTGATATAAAATTAAAAAAAAAATTAAACTTATAATTTAAAATGATAATTAAAATTAATCTCAAATACATGATATATAATTAAAAACAATAAAAATAAATAACATCACATAATTAATCAAACTTAAATTTCATCATCTTCATGTCCAAAACGTTCCCAAATATATTCGACTAGATCTCCTTGAAGTTTACGATGAACTTGTTTTTCTTGAATACTTGCTCTTCTTTGTAGTCTTGTTGCAAGATTCGGATGAGGACCGCTAAATGTTTCAGTTGTTGAGTTATTGATATCCACATTATCATAAGAATAATCAAAATTACCTCCATATGTATGTCGTTTGTCTTCCACAATCATGTTGTGCAATATGATGCAGGCATATATGGTATGCTTGAGAGTGTCCATGTGCCAGGCACGCGTTGGGCCATGTATAATTGCAAATCGAGATTGAAGCACTCCAAATGCTCGCTCCACATGTTTTCTAGCCGATTCTTGATGTTGAGCAAATAATTTTTTCTTTTCTCCCTGTGGCATTGAAATAGTCTTGACAAATGTAGCCCACTCGGGATATATACCATCTGCTAAATAATACCTCATATTATATGGTGTCCCATTGATTGTATATTGCACATTGAGAGCACGTCCTTCCAAAATATCGTTAAACACGTTGGATTGGTTTAGCACATTAATGTCATTGTTTGAACCTGCAATACCAAAAAAAGCATGACAAATCCATAAGTCTTGTGATGTCACTGCTTCAAGCATGATTGTGGGCTTACCATGATCACCTCGACAAAATTGTCCTTTCCATGCAACAGGACAATTTTCCCATACCCAATGCATACAATCGATGGAACCCAACATACCTGGAAAATCCAGGTGACTCTCTCATTTGTAAAAGATGTTCAACATCAGTGTTGTTAGGCTTTCTCAAATACTCAGCGCCAAATACAACATTGACACCCTTAACAAATCTTTCTAAGCACTCAATTGAAGTGCTTTCTGCAATGGTGAAAGACCCATTTTACCTGTTGCATCAACCCTCATTTGAAAGTATTCATCATGATTTCCAAGGGCATCTACAATTCGAATAAATACATGCCTATGCATTCTGAACCTTCTTTGGAATTGAACATTTGTGTATACTGGATTTTCCGAGAAGTAGTCATTGAATAATCGATTGTGCCCTTCTTCACGACCTCGATCTACCGTTGTTCTTCTCTTTGGCCTAAAGGAACTTCCAAGTCGACGTTCATTTTGAAGTTGTTGTTCTTCATCACTGTCGTCCATAAATTCTTCTTCAACCAACTCCCAAAATTCTTGATCGTAAGTATCTAAATTGTCTAAATCCATTTAGTGAGTAAAGAATGAGAGAAAATGAGAAGAATAAGATGAGAATGAGAGAACAATGACATAAGTGGTAGTATATATAATGGCTAGTTTGAATAACGGCTAGTTTGAATAACGACTAGTTTGAATAACGACTAGTTTGAATAACGGCTAGTTTAAATTAAAGTGGTAGTTTGAATAACGACTAATGACCATTTTACATAGGTGTTGATAAATTAAAGTGGTACTAATGACCATTTTACATGGGTGTTGATAAATTAAAGTGGTACTAATGACCATTTTACATAAGTGATACTAACTACATTCCATATTTTTTTTTTCATCTTATTACAATATTTTTCATGAATATCTCGTTGACTATCGTTCATAGTAGAAGTGTCTTTCATCATCATTTTCACTACTCTTAATTCTAGCTCGTCCTCCTTAGCTTGCGCAAGTCTGTCCATTGTTATTGCTCTTTTATTCTTTGCATCTTGCGTTTCATTTGGAATTTCTGATGCCTTACCCTTCCTTTTTGCTGCTTTTTGTCCCATTGGACGCTCCATTGGTGATAATGAGTTAAACTCATAACTTGAAGTTGTATCAGGGTTCTCCGATGATGCCCCACTAGCATAAGTCTTTGTTATTTTTGCAGAACTTCCAATCGATTCTTCGACGATGCGCCATTTAACTTCATCTTTTAACAATCGCCATGCATACTCAAGATTGAATGTTGTACCTTGATCCTGAGCAAAAATAGCATGTGCATCTGCCATGACATCGGTCTCGGATGTCCCACTTTTCTTTCCTTTAAGAGCAATTTTGTAACACCCAACAAATTTTTGAACCATGTCATTTATTCTATGCCATCGACATTTTAACTGTCCCCCTGACTTTTCCCGCAATTGCCCACGATATTGGTTATAACTAGCAGCAATTCTTAACCAAAAACACTCAGCCTTTTGATCAACTCCCACAATTGGATCCTTTGAAACATTGAGCCATGATTGGATAAGTAGTATATCCTCTTCCCTTGTAAATTGCTCTCGAGATGTTTTTTAACGACAACCCTTTCTTCTTTTTCAATACCAACTTGAGTAGAAAATGGTGGGACTTGAGTAGAAAATGGTGGAACTTGAGTAGATAATTTCATACTATTAGAATTCATTTGATGTATAGGATACATATTTGGATTGTTTGGTGACGGAGGAAATATGGCGGGGTTTGTTGGCACCAGTGGAATTTGAGAATTTTGAGGATTAGGATTTTGAGAATTTTGCATGTAATTGAAAAAAACTTGTTGATAATGAAAATGATTAGGATCTATTTGGCCTAAACAATTGTAATTTGAAGTAAAAAGATGAAATTTTAAGTTAAATCTTTTGTAAAAAAAATGCTAATGAGAAAAAGTTGTTGAAAAAAAATTAAAAGTATAGGAATAAAATGATGAAATTGTGAGAGAGAAATTTCAAATTGAAGAGAAAATAAAAGAGAGAAATTTGTATTGGTAAATTTTTGGAAACCAAAATTATATTTATGATAAAAAATAAGTTTAAAAAAATAAGTAGCCGTTGAAACGGCTAGTTTTTATTATATTTATTATATTTTAATACATTATTTAATACAAATAAGTAGCCGTTGAAAGTGTGTCGTACGGTTGAAAAGACATTGTGTCTGCCAACTTAAAATGTCATTCAGTAATATTTAATGCAAATAAAATATGTCATGCTGGCGAACTAGAATGACAAACCAACTCCAAGGATTATTTGAAGTGGTGTCAGTGTAAAAAACCTACTTAGAACCCCTTCAACTTATGAAGGGGTAGCTGGTACTTGTACTGTTCGAATGAAAATTACGGATTCATATCATTCTTTTCTAGTTCCATCATTTCTTGGAAAGACCATAATGTTGCCAGTTGGCATAAGTTTTACTGATGTGACTGATTCTATTGGTTTCCAACCTAACGTCTACACTTTGGCATATGGCCTTGTAGGGGATGGTTTGCTTGTTCAGCAGTTGGGCATAATTTCATAGTTATGTCAACTCTTAACCCATGTTTTTGTTTATCCTTGGGGTTAGAGTTCTATCAGGTTATCAATATTAAATTTATGAAATGAAACATTTGGAGCTGCAGAACGAAGCATCATGTGTTTCCATCCTTAGACCTATGTACCAAAAAAACCATCAAGTTCATCCATTTCAGAAAATAACAGCATCAAGCAGTAGCCTTGGCAACAACTCTGATGGCATCAAACTTTATGAAAGTGAAATGTGAATGTTCCAATTAATTTCATTAGCAGCATTGCATAACAGTGAATACAAGGCATAACAAAAACGGACTCGCAGAAGGAAATAACACCGGGCTTTATCATATACATTTCAATTCCTTCAACTAATTTCAATCCAAATCCTTAAACTAACCTCTAACAGAATTACATTGTGATACCTATTCTACCCTCCCCAAATTCTGGTATAAAAACCAAGCAGCTTCAACAGAATTGAAAAAAAATTCTTCATTATTATCTACAACAAATTCAGCACCAATCTTCACTTCTCTTGAAGCTTCAAATCGCACCATTATCACGTAACCTTCGACTCATAGTAATCAACACTCTGCATCAATTCTTCAACTCAATATCTCAATCTTCATCAAAGTTCAAAACCTACAGAAGTCACAAACCAACACGGTTCGGCAGTTCAATTTTGTAACCAACAATTCACGCTACCACAACAACGCAAGATTCTTAGCACAAGCATGCAAAGAAGAATTAAAGAAAAATAACATCAACGTTCAAGAATTCACGGCCAGAAGAAGAAGAAGGAAGCGGAATCGAGCATTCATGTTAAGGAGAAAAACGAGCATACCTGAGCCATGAGACCTTGTGTCATCTTCGAAGCGCCATTGGAGCGAATCCGGTAGGTACATATTGATCTATGCATTGCTCTGTATCCTCGTATGTGTATTGCGATGTGGATTGTGGATTAGCTCTTATCTGTTGTTAAGCTCCATTTTGAGTTGAGTATTGAGTTTCCGACTGTTTTGTCGCATTGAAATGTAAGGTGAAAGAGGTTCGTACTTCGCCGTCGCTGACGTAAGGCCACGGGACGGCGAATTTTTGTGCGGACACTGTTGTTGATGAGAGTGTTGGACCTAGCATAGGAAGCCCGTATGCCTGGTTTTGATCGCACCCTCAATCCTATCTTAACTAGTTTTTAGTTTTTGTTTTTTAAATTAGGATTTGGTTTGTGTGTGAAGATATGACTTCTCAAACGGTTTTAATGACGACACGCTCTAAGACATGGCTTACTCAAATTAGAATTTTTTTCTCTTTGATTACATCTTATTTTTCTAAGATTGTTGGAAATAAGTTTGTAAGATTGTAACCTTGTTGTCCAGAATTGTTGGAAGCAAGAGGTCGATTTTGAGAGGATTGTTCTCATTGAACTTAGTGAAAAATTCAAGAGGAGTGTTCTTGGTGTTTGATTGGTTAGAGTCTGTATAGAAAGACTAGGTATAAGTCTTGTCTTAGGATCTAACAATATTGAAAAATCTCTTTCGTGTTGAAAGGGGACTGGAGTACTCTCGGACTGTGAGGAGAACTAGAATATATCGTCGTGTCTCTTTACTTTCCGTTTTTACTGCATTCATCACTTAGTAACCTTTATTGATACTTGTAAGTATTTCTTGTGAATTTCTTTCTGGTGTTGTCGCCATAATTCTGATGCTTATCCTGATTAAATTCTTGATGCACACCTCGAGCTTGGTACTTTGTCTTGAACTTGTTTCATGTGTGATTTCTCTTTGTGATTGAGATGCTTCATGTTTACTTGTGCTTCGTATTCACATGCTCCATTAGGGCTCCTAGTCTAAATTAATTTCCGATTAAGTTTGGAGTAGGATAGACATTAGGATCTCAATCCAAGCATGACAATATAAGGATAGCTTCCCTCTAATCCTGACCTTAGGGCCATATTGCATGATAACATATAGGATTCAGTTTCCCTTAGACCTTGCATGCGTCTCTCTTTTTTTTCTCAAGACAATTTCAAAACACTTAATAAATATGATGAGTATGCGCCACGAGCCTTGAGTACATGAGAAATAATGAGTGAGGGGACTCTCCTCGCTTGTCTAGAGTGTTTAGCGTACGTCCCATCTGGGGGCGATCATGCGACGTATTTTCTCCTATGTCATAGACTTTAGTGCAATACGCATATCAAACAAATTCAATTCACTTCCCCGATAAGTCCATAATATTTTCTCTCGCCCCCGTGCGATCGAGATCCTGTTTTCCCGTAGTAGCGTGAACTACGGATGCTCTGATTCCGTATTCCCTAATGAGGATACGTAGGCACAAGGATCCATATCCTTGGCGAGTACACTAGCAACTAACTTCCCTTTTCTCGCCCCAACGTGATCGAGACCAACCAGATAATTGAACCTTTTCTCTTGCCCCAGTGCGATTGAGACCTTTCTCACAATTTCCCGAACTACGTTTGCTCTGATTTCTCATACCAAATGAGGATACGTAGGCACAAGAAGGCGATGTCTTGGCGAGCAACCTCCCCCCCATCACCCGTAGTTTTACAAACTACGTTGACTATGACTTTCCCATTGCACGAGGGAATACGTAGGCATACGGGGGCGATGTCCTATCGAGTCTCCTTTTTCTTTTCCCTTTCTTGTTTTCGTTTAGTAGTAGCTTTTAGATAACTCATCCTTTGATTAGACAACAAGCATGGATCCCGTTGAGTACAACAAATGTGAGGGGTGTTAATACCTTCCCTTTGCGTAATCGACTCCCGAACTCAAGATTTGGTTGCGATGACCCTGTCTTCTCCATTCTTTTAGGTTTCTTCGATCGTTTTCTTTCTGTCCTTTGGGATAAATAATGTTCGATGGAGACTCTTCTGTTTGTTTCTGCCAGTTGTTTTTCGCAGTTGCGACAGCATGCCGAACCTTTTAAGTACCTTTTTCGATATAACTCCTTTGTGATAATCCTAGAATACATTGACATCAGTCC